ACGGTGACGCGCTCTGGGACACAGAACGGCCCACAGCAGTGCCAGGCCGGGCTTCTCCTCGCCTCCTGCTCATCCGGGGCCTGGTCGCCTGAGCCAGGCCCTGGGGAACGGGAGGCGGTGGCCGCTATTCCTGGCGTGGGGGCCAGTGTCCCGTGGGGCCATGGGAAAAGGGGAAGTGTGGGTAACGAGCACAGCGCACCCTAGTGCACTCTGCTCCCTAGCTTCTGGGGGCCACGCTCTGGCTCTGGGCGAGCGCCGTGTCTGAACCCGACACCTGGAGTTCCGGCTGACGCCGGTCCCCATTCTCAGGGCCGTCTGACCGCCCCAGAGGCAGACGTTCTCAGTTGGGTGTCCTCAGCTCAACAGCTAAGAGTTTTCTGATATACCCCGATTCTCTGCAATCCTGTGCCACCCAACAGCTTCCCTTTGTTCCCCTGCAAGTCTGAACCCCGCTACGGGACCGCCCGGGCCCACTTGCCAATGTCCGCCCTCCGATGCGCCCCGTCGCGTACGGAGTCGGCACCACTGGATGGTGCCGCAGCCCGCCCCTCACCCCAGCCACGGCTCTCCCGGCCCTGGCTCTCCTGGCCCTGCTCCTCGGCAGACCGTCCGTCCGACAGGCCTGCCCCGCACACGGAGGGAAGTGGGGAGGCCCTGCCTCAGCCCGCCCCTGGCCCTTGCGCTCTCCCTCCCGCTGCGGGGCTTCTCCCCATCTGTCCACTGCAGAGTCAGACGCAGTAAGCCCATGCTGCTTTGGAAGAACAGGCAGTTCATTTCTATAGAAAACCAAGATCATACTCTTTAAAGACAAAGATACAAAAACGTGCGTCCGAGGGAAATGAAGACTGGAACCCGCCCAGAAAGCCCTACGAAACAGTTCTCGCCCCATGGACACCTCGCGCACCTCCCTGTGCTCCCACTCAGGGACGGAGAGCCCACAAACCTCCCGAGCCACCTCTTCCCACACCTGCGGTTTCTCCGTGAACGTACAGAATGCACACGTCTTACTAAATGAAGTGTGTCTTACTTAATCACTAAAATAAAATTTAGGAAGCAACAGCTCTCTCTCAAAAAAACCTTGAGAAAGGACCTTGACTGTTCCTATCTCCGCAGAACCATGCAGTTTGTACTCTCACAGGGCTGACACCACGGAGGAAGGTGAAGTTCACATTCAGACAGAACTATTAACCTGAACGTTGGGCCCCACAGCGTCCCGCTGCGGACGCTGGGGCACCTGGGGAACTTGCGCTGCTCCTCCCGCCACGAAGGCCCTCAGCCTGCGGCTGGAAGCCTGGCCCAGCCGCGGCTTCCCCGCGATTTCCCCGCTGGCGCCCTGCGGCTGTCCGGGAGGGCTAGCCACCTGCCGCACAAGTGCCTGCAGCGACGTGCTTCTACACCAGCGGGTATTCGTACATGCCGTGCCCGCTGACTTCTAAAGGACGAAAATGTTTCTAAATATTAACAAAGCAGCCGTCAGAAAAACTAATGCTGAAAAAAAAAAACAAAAACAAAACCCAATTATTAACACTGATCGCTTCATTTGAGTACTGACGCCGCCTCTCTGTGAAACTCCTCTGGAAAGCACCACTGCAAAATAAAACTGGGACCACGTGGTCCAGTGGTCGTTTACTACAAAGTGCAACTGGCTTGTCCACTTATTGGAAGTGTCTAGAACTATAATATTCTCGTTAAGGTCAAAACAAATTTTTAGCCAAGCTCATTCAATCATAGCCCGAGGTGTCTCGGGCCAATTACTGTGTGTTTCTGAGAAGTCTGTGCGCTGGTCTTGAGGAAGTTCTGTAGCCCTCTGACATCACGATTTCCTCAACCGCAGGGAAAAAAATGAATTGCAGCCTGACACGTAAGTAACAAGGACTCTTCGGCCAGGCTCTCTGGGCTCAACTGTGCTCTTCTCCTCAGTAATACTGTAGTCCTGGGCAGGTCACTTAGCTTCTCTAAGTCTCGGTGTGTCCGTCTGTAAAACGGGCACAAGCGAGACGGCTACCGCACACTGCTCTTGGGCAGATTGAACGAAATGATCCTCGTAAACTGCCGGTGGCTCGCAGGAAAGGGGTAACTCATGACATTATCGCTTGCCTGCTGTTCAGAAACACGGTGCGGGACGAAAAAAAATGACAGGAAGCTCTTTTGAAAAACATGGAGCATTCCCTCCTACTTAAAGTTCTGAGAGCGTCCTCACTGCTCCGCTCGGGACTCGCGGTCACGAAGGAGCGCCTGCAGAACTCGGTCAGCGCCACACTGCGCATGCGGGCGCCCCGCGGGTGAACACCGAGACACCCCCGGGGCGGGGGCGGAGCGCCGCCGGGACTGGCGCCGGGACCGCGGGTCTGAGCTTGTGACGGCAGCGCCCGCTGCCGCACAGGGCCGGGGAAGCGCTGATGTTTCCAGTACGGCTCAGTTCTGAAAAGCCCTTTTACGAAAATAATCACCAATGTTCTATACCCTTAGGGGGTATAAAAAATTCCTTTTCCCAACGGCAAAACTGTGCCATAAAGTGAAAAAACTGTTCCCACCTGCCCCCTCTAGGCTGGCTCCCCGCCCCAGTGGGGCGCCGTGGCGGCCAGGCCAGTACCGGCAGGCTCCACCAGGTGGCGCCACGCGGAGCAGGAGCCGGCAACCCGCGACCTGGACGCGGGATGGAAAGAAGGCGGGTTTCAAAGCGGCCTTTCTTCCTGCCGTTTCTGCCGAGGCTGCGGGCAGCACTGCGGGGGAGAGGCGCGTGCAGCTCCTTCTAAAGCCCCAGAGGCTACCAGCCCCACAGGCCCCGGGAGGAGCACGTGTTGAGGCGGGAAGCGAAGACTGTGATCAGGGGAGTGCGTTGTTGTGCACGCTGCTCTACTTAGGCGTGTAAACACTTTTTCACACCCGACAGGCAACCCCACCCTCCGCCGTCTCTGTAAACGAGGGCAGCCGCACCACTCGCACGGGCCGGTAACTGGGCACTGAGGCGACAAGCAGCCCCTGACCCGCCCGGGCGGCAGTCCGAGGAAGGCAAGCCACCTCTTCGTGGCTAAGACACCACGACTGCGCTGGAAGGCTAGAAGGGAGTACGGTGTATTTCCTAAAAGGCTGGGGGCGGGGGGAAATGCTGTTTTTTTAAACTAAATGAAGTAAAAATATTTGTAAGTCGTCAATCCTGACTCTGACAAATAAAATTTTTTGAAGTTATGAAAAGTTACCTTTCATAGGTGTCGACATCCTCTCAGAGCAGCCGTGTCAAAGCGCGCACCAAGGAGCAGAGGCGCTGGGGCAGGCGCGAGGACACGTAGGACCACCCCCACGTCACCTCTGCACGTTTGCACTGAGCTGCCACGCGACTGCAAGCGGCACACAGTCGAAAACCGCTGTTCAAACGCCTTTGCACATCGACCTCCTGGGGCTCACTTTAAACAGCAACTTGAACCTGAAGGCGATGCCACTTGGTGCCTCGGAGCGCTGTCGGAGTCTTCAGGTGCCAAGAAACACCAGCAACTGAACAGACGGACTCTGTCCGGGCGCTCCCGTGAAAATGCAGACTCCCTCTACAGAACGACGAGTCCCCCTCTCCCACAGAAGCTAGGGACCCAGGTCCACCCTACGCCCGGCCTCTCACGGCAGACGCGCGTCTGCCCTGGGTTTTGAAGAGAGGAGGAGAAGTCTGCTGGACAGTCTGACAATGCAGAAGCCCAACGGCTGGGAAAGCTGCTTGGTTTCCAAATTGCATTACTACTTCCTCTGAGTACCTCGTATCTAAAAGATTTAAGTAGGTGAGAGGACAATAGAAATAGTGTTTACTGACAGTATTATCACTTACTATAAACATATCAAGGCATTAATGAGAAAATACAGTTTTAATTCATTGGAAATGCCCCTTCTTTTATTGGTAATAAGTTAAAGCCCAGAATGTTAATTCTGACACCTTCTCTACTGATGGAGGATTTCATAGCAACATCTAGCACGAGAATGGACTACTCAATGTCCATAGTGCACACACACAAAACTGTATCTCATCATTAAGTGTGATAAGATGTTTTAATCACTGTTTTTCAAATAAAACTAACTCCCTGTTGACTCGTGTAAATTTGATTCCTAGTCTTTATATCTATAACTTTTTGTGTTCTAAAATGAAGAATTTTGTATTTTTCCCATCAGCCAGCATTCACTAAATGGACAAAACACACAGGTTTTGTTAGCCGTCCTTTGGCATGAGCTGACGACCCGCCGTTTTTCCGGACCCCTGCAGCTCTTCATGGCCCAGCAGCGCCCTGGGGCCCAGGGGGGAGCGCTGTGGAGGGAGCCCGGGCGCTGCAGAGCGGACGGTGCTGCGACCCCCGCCTGCACGTGAGGGAGCACGCAGAGCACAGCACCCGGAGCGGCGGCGCCCAGGGCCTCCGGCAGTGTCCACGTGGGCAGCCTCCGGGGCCCACGGGCGCTGTTCCCTCACAAAGGGGACATAACACGGTTCTCGCCTTCAAGTCTAGCAAGGCGTCTACTCGGCCTCAGCTTTGTAAAGACACCCACAAATCGACTGGTTACCCAACTGGATCCCATTCACTAAAAATGATACGTCGAGTTGGGAAAAGAGCATCTGATTTCAGGGACTACATAATCACCCTAAAGTCTTCTGATTCCAAAAAAAGACCTACTTCAATTCAAACTGGTGAACTAGATATGCAAGGCTGAGTCTCAAAATATTTTTCTAATGTCCACAATATACACTGCTTTCCTGCTAATGTAGACAGCTTTGTTTTATACTCAAATTCATATATATTTCAGTATTTTAAAATTACTTATATATGTAAGGGACACATTTTATCTTCTTTTTTATTGGTTCCTAGGTTGCATACTTTTTACTTTTGAAATAATTTAGCTCAAGTTTTATATATAGCACAAAGGCATAACAAATGTCTTATTATGTGCCATAATTATGATCAAAACACACTTTCTTGATAGTTTCAGGAACGGGAAAAGATTTCTCTATGTAAGACAAAATCGGACACCTCTTTGCTCGGCTGCATTCGACATCAGGCCCAGAGCTTGCTGCGAACGCCACACCTGCAGCGCAGTTATTTCAGCCGCTTCATCCCACCACAGCGCTGTGCCACGTGTTCCTGTTGCCGCACTGGTCACTGGAGCAGAGAGAGCAGGGGTTGGCTGGTTCTGCCAGTGCACAAATGAGCCCCAAGCAATACCTCCGCGTCCTCGAATCAATCCCCACACTCACCACCCGGAGCAGTGAAGTGTAACAGTCCCACTGGTATGAGCGTGCAGACCCGCTCTACGTCCTGCACTGAGATACGGCACCTAATAAAGCACCTACGATGCAGGACACACCACCTATGGTCCCTCTGCACCGAGTTAAGGCGACACGTTATTTACAGTGTATCTTTCATGAGTTCTTTCAACAGACGCTCACTGGGCATCAAGAGCCCTCTGACCACGAAAGAGCGGGCCGCTAAAACCCTCCAGGACAGAGCGAGAGGCGCGGCTACCCGCGGCCCTCGGGCTCCACGGCACCGGGACAGGAGCACGGGCTGCGGGCGCTGCCGCCGTCCCGCGTGCCGGAAGGGTGGTCTGGCAGAAGAGACGGTCGGATACTGAGAGTGTTCAAGTAATTACAGAAGGGGTGGCTGAGTCAGTGGGCTAGTATGGCCAAACAGCACTGTAATTCTAAAATCTAGAACTGCATTTATATGGGAATAGGAATACTGGTTAACTTTTAAAGAAAGAAAAGAAAAAAGAAAAGAAGAGGAAAGAAAAAGAAAAAGAAAAAAAGAAAAAGAGCAGGAGGAGCTAGGAGCCCTAAGCATAGAAATCATTTAAGGGACAGGAAGTTTCAATAGAAGTATCAGTGCAGGCTCAAAACCGACTAGCTAATGATCAGAAAGTTGGTCACTGTCTGTAAGCCTGTCTTTGCCCCTCTCTAAGTATGAGTAAAACTGGACTATTTTGTATTGCCCTGTGGCAAACACTGCTGCCAGCCACCGTCTAGCTGGGGAGGACGCCCACCCCCGGGAAGCGGAGGGGAGGGAAGCTGCAAGCGCCCGCTCACCACCCCCCGCCCCCCGCCCCACAGTACCAGCAGCAGCCCCAGCAGCCTCAGCCCCAGCAGCAGCAGCAGCAGCAGCAGCAGCAGCAGCCGCAGCTTCAGCCGCAGCGCCCGTGCAAGCACACCGGACTCAGTAACCTGCGGCTCGCGGGTCCTGGGGGGCGGGCTGCGGGCACGCCTGCGCGGCCAGCTCCTGCTGCCTCTGCTGCTCGGCCTTCTTAAGCCTCAGTTGTTGCAGCCGCTTACGGAGCAAAGCTATCTCAGGCCCCCTTAAAAATTCTGCCACAGACAGGAAAGAAAGGTGAAAGGATAGTAATCAGAGAGGCACCGGCAACACTTCGATTATACACTGGATTACACGAGAAAATAGCAAGAATCTGGTCATACAAGAGGGAAGGGTGAAAGTTAAACATGCCTCACAGAGGAATACTCATAACAAATTGTGCACTCATAAATAAAGGAATAATTACTGGTCATTAAGAGAAAAACCATACACTCGCATACACCCAAATGCTTCTGTTTAACTTGATGAATTAGACGCTTGTAGTTTTGTAACAACGTGTAATTAAACAGAATGAAAATAAAGTCCTCCAGAAGCAAAACATTTTAAAATAAACATGCCTCACTAATTTCATCTTTTTACAACAAAAGGATACTAAAAATGAAAAGGTGAGAAGTATTAGTTACCTCATCTAATCTATATTCAAAATTACTAATTTTAATCACACAAGTAAAACTCAATCAAAACAATGAAAAAGCTGTGCATTTGGAAACAATTCTTGGAATTTATTAGCGGAGAGCTCTTTGAAAAGTGTAAGTTCCGTATTTTTCAGCTAAAATATTTCTTCTTACGTTGGAATTGTCGTTCGCTCTTCCCTTACTGCACAAGTACATTCACCTGACCTTGACTTTCCTACACTTCGTCGGAAGCAGCGGTCACAGACGGAAAGTGGGAACCCAACGCAGGGTTCCGCGGGGACATCGGTGCCCACGATGGGTTTTAGGCTCTGGAGATGATGAAGCAGCGGACACCCTAAAACAGTCCCTCCTCATGCGGGGTTGGTGTTCCGAGAGGGAAAGAGACCTCAGTGAGTACACACACGTAAGCAGCACAGTGGTAAGGAGTGCACACGTGTGTCTGCACGTGTCAGTGTGGACGCGGCCAGGACCAGGGGCAGAGGCAGTGGGGCAGGCTGTCCCGAGGGCGGGCCGCTCCCAGGGTGGTTTGGAACCCAGACCTCGAGCATGTGCTGCGTGCAGGCAGGGCTTCCGGGTGGAGGGGACAGCGGGAGCAAATGCCAGGGACGGCCGCCCTGCGCTGCGGAAGGAAGAACAGAGGAGGGACACGCAGCAGCAGCAGCAGAAGGAAGAAAAGAACGGACCGATGTCCCAGGGAGGAACTGCGCAGGGACTGACGACAACCGTCCAGGACTCGCCAGTAAACCCGATGTCCCTGGTGGCGTCGCCGCCAGCCCCTAGGGAGCAAGTGGTCACGGAGAAGCAGGAGAGGTCCACGGCCTGATCTCGGGGCACCCCACGGCGCACCAGAGGAGGGGCGAGGAGGAGGGAGAACGCCAGCGGACTCCGCGCGGGGTAAGGGGCGGGATGTGTGGACAAGGCCAGAGTCAGCAGTGTGTCAGGAGCTGCTGGTGCGGCGGAAACGGTCCCGAGGACCGTCCGCTGCACGCGCACCCAAGAAGCCACGGACGGCCGTGAGCACAGGTGTTTCAGCAAAATCCCGGGGCCACGCCGGACTGGTACGGGTTCAAGAGGAAGAGGAGGTCATGGAGTCCAATGGACTGCGCACGCGCTTGAGTCTCGCCACTCCTGGGGACCGAGAAACCAGTAGGTGGCTGGCGGAGCACAGAGCCGGGGAGACTGGGCGGGGCTCGCCCGGGAGGCAGTGCCGGGTGTGTGCCCACAGGCTGCACGGGAGGACGGGGCGGTGATGCGCGGGAAGGACGCCCGGAGCCCGCCGGAGGGGGCGGACTGCACGGGTAAGGGGGGGGCTGGTTTCAGATGCGCACCCATAACTGAAGCAGCAGTCCCGTGTTTGAGGGTGGGGGCACCCCCAACTTCTCTCAGCGACCTTGGCGGCAAGTCACCCCAACTGCCAGACAGCTTCCGGCCCTCGTACCTGCATCACAAGGCTGCAGACGCCGGTTTACTGCCTCAGGAGACCACCGTGCCCGAGATGCCGACCTCGCAGTGCCCCGGCATCTCTGCACACAGGGTCTGACTGGATTGGCCAGCTGGCAGCCAGGATTTCAGGAGCAGCTCACGAGTCATCCTAGTCTCCCACCGTGGGCTCTTCCCCGTCCACTGTCCAGTGCGGAGCAGGGCAGCGTCACCAAGACCTGAACTGTGCGCTCAGTGGCCCAGAGGTAGATACACAGGCACGATTCGCCGTCCACGCAACGGCAATGCTTCCGCAACATAAAACAGCATCATCAAGCAGCCATCAAGTCTAACTTTCTACACTCCAAAGAAATTACCGTAGAGAGAGAGATTATATATGTGCCAATTTTGCTAAAAAAGAGAAAAATCACCAAAAAAATCCACCCAACTGCACTGCTGTCTCCGGCGCTCTGTCTTGCACGGCGGAACGCGGTGGGAGAACGCGGTGGGAGAAGCGCCTCCACCCCAGACCCACTCGGGGCTGCAGCACACCCAGCGGGCTCCGTGTGCAAGCAGTGACGCTCTCAGGGGGGAAGGTCGGGATTTACTCCAGCGCCCCCAGCTTCATAAAGGATGTATTTGCTTGCGTTTGAGGCTGGCTGTGTGGCGGCTCTCCCCAGCCTTGGTGAAAAAAAAAGAGCCCAGGAAGAGCAGGCGGCACACGGCGGACCGGGAAAGGCCGACGCTGCAGCGGAAGCCCCAGCCGCACCCCCCCAGCCACGCCGCCCAGACGGTCCTGCCGGCGGGACGACACACTCCAAGCCGGGAAAACGCACCCACAGTACATCCTCTTTAAAATGCACATACAAACATGTACGATTTAGAAAGCGAACAAATGCTTAGAGAATGAGTTTTTGCTAACGTAAGCCAAATTGGAAAGTGAATAAAGTGAATGCCTTTGGGTTGAATTAAGAAAAAAACAAAAAAAAAAACCCTCAACAGTGTGCCAGGAGCTGCTAAAGGGAAACGCGTGCTTCCATCTCTGGAAGGCGCGAGCTCCTCCGGTCTGTGTTCCTCCCACGGCCCTTTCCTCACAGTCCAGGAAGAGACCGGGCTGGTCACCCCCGGCCCCCGCCCAGGCTTTCGCTCCCCGGAGGGGCGGGGCGAGGGCAGCGGAGGCCCGCCGGGCTCTGCCTCAGGCGCTGCCCCTCCTGCACACAGGGTCCCGGTCCTGGACCCTGGACGTCGTCATGCAGCTTCTCCATCCGATCGGGCAGAACCTCTCCTGCCTCCTCTCCACTCGTCTCTGGTCCGGGGACCCCTGCGCTTTCCTCCTCCTGGAGCCGGTCACTCCTGCTCTGACTCCCCAGTTCCTCCAGTCTCAGCCTCAGTTTCCCCAAAGTGGCCATTAGCCTGATGGGTCCACCTGTCTCTAGGGTGCACTCGGCCTTACCTGGTCTGAGGAGACCCGGGCCCCGTGGAGGGAGCCTCTGGGCTTCGAGAGGCCTGCGCTGCCTGGCGCCCTGCACGGCCGAGTGCCCCCCGCCCCCACTCCCCAGACGCTTCCCTGCAGAGCTCGATGCGGCTGGGAGGGTGCTGGAGGGACCTGAGTGCGTGTGCAGACCCGAGCAGACACGGCCGTTCGCAAACACGCGGGTGTCCACGTGCCACCTGGCCGGACCGCACCTGCCTGGGCCGGGCGCCCGTGCGGTCAGAGAAGGTGTCTGTCAGGGGATGATGCTCTTCTCGAGGTGAGCCCCCCCAGCCACATTCAGTGTGCGCTGTGCCCCCACCCAGCCCAAGCCCCCCTTTCCTGGCCGCCCCCCTCCGCCTCAGATCCAAGCCAGAGGAAAACTCGAAACCACGCGGGAGTGACGGCCGCAGTCAGTACGCCTTCGTTACCACGGAGAGGAGTGACAAGTGACAGGGGAAACGGAGACATTTCCAGGCTTCATTAAACGACTAAGAGTCAAGTCTGACCGCCACTACTGAGAAAAGAAGAAAATACCTTACAATTACTTTGAAATCGTTTGTACAAATAAAACTGGGAAGACTTCATTTTAACCTACATCATTTCAGCTCATAGTCAGACCTTTGAGATTTTTAACTGGGTCATTGTGTAACCACAGACTTTTGTGAAATAGTCAAGAAAAAACCGCATGTAATACAAGAATCGAAATGCCGGACTAAATTCTGGGTTATGTACACAGAATACGGGTTCAAACGGTCTGGCTCCTTGGATTAAAATAAAAGTCAAGAACACAAAGAGTAAAAAAGTCAAAAAAGAAAAAAAAGACCCACCAGCTGATTTCAAACTACATTTGAGCATATCAGTTTTGCTAATTCAGACACAAAGCCCAGAGTCGACTCTGGCCTCCGGACTCTCCCTCGGGGAGTGAACGCACTCGGCGCATCCGCCTCACTCTCGGCTTTGCCTTGTTTTTTTCCTATTCATATTCTGTTTGTCGTAACTCCATCACTTAGAAAAACGACTTTTAAACATTTCTGCCCTGGCTGGTGTGGCTCAGTCGGTTGGAGCATCACCCCATGGACCGAATGGGGCAGGTGAGTCCCGGTCGGGACGCATACCCGGGTTGCGGGTTCGGTCCCCACTCGGGCTGCGTACGACAGGCAACCGACCCGTGCTCCTCACTCGCATCACTGTTTCTCTCCCTCTCTGTCTCCCGAAAAGCAATGAAAACAAAAATGCCCTCAGGTGAGCATAAAAAAACTTTTTTTTAATTCCTGTAAGTAACCTTTAAGCGTTCTGAACGCAGTAGGGAAGAACGCACACTCAGTCTCACGTGTCCGGGAGCGCCAGGACAACGCAGCAGGGAAGAACGCACACTCAGTCTCACGTGTCCGGGAGCGCCAGGACAACGCAGTAGGGAAGAACGCACACTCAGTCTCACGTGTCCGGGAGCGCCGAGGACAACGCAGCAGGGAAGAACGCACACTCAGTCTCACGTGTCCGGGAGCGCCAGGACAACGCAGCAGGGAAGAACGCACACTCAGTCTCACGTGTCCGGGAGCGCCGAGGACAACGCAGTAGGGAAGAACGCACACTCAGTCTCACGTGTCCGGGAGCGCCAGGACAACGCAGTAGGGAAGAACGCACACTCAGTCTCACGTGTCCGGGAGCGCCAGGACAACGCAGTAGGGAAGAACGCACACTCAGTCTCACGTGTCCGGGAGCGCCAGGACAAACAAGGGACCCAAAGGCAGCGTGAGGCCGCACCCCGGGCCCAGCGCCTCCGCCGGGCAGCATCGGCGCGGGAGCCCACGGGGACACCCAGAGGGAGGGAAGGGGCCGGCGCGCTGAGACCACGGTGCGGCTGAGCACGCCCCCTCGGGCCCCGCCGGCTTCGAGACAACAGGCAGTCCTCACAGTCTCTTCGGAGAAGGGCCGCCTGGGGGGAGGGCTCACACAGAACAAGGCAGGTAATGTTGCCATCCTCATGAGAGCACAGTCTAACAAGAAATATAAGTCATACACCAACCAAAGATGAACAAAAGTACCTTTCAGGGGAAAAAAAGAGAGCTACTCAAGGAGAACAAGGGTGCAGGGAGGGGAGGTGAAGAAAAGGCACCCAGCCCGGGAGGGAGTTCTGAGAGGCCGCCCTCGGGGACCGTGCGCTGAGACCCAGAGATGAGGGCTGAGGGGCCAGGGAGGGCTCCCGGCCCAAGCACGCCCCCGCTCTGCCCGCGCTCTGCCCGTGGGACGGAGGCCGGAGCCCGGGAGAACGCGGCCCCTCCGGGAGCCTGAAAGGAGACCTGGGCGGTGGGAGCGGGCGCGGCGGTCCCTGGGGCAGAGAGAGGCGCACCGGGCGTGTCGGTTCTCACAGGCCCACAGCGAGGAGCTCCTTTTTGGCAAAGGGGTGTCACGAATGCCAAGAAAGGAGTTTCCAGGAGGGAGCGGCCGACTCAACGAGATGCCAACAGAGAAGCAGACTACAAACTGGGCAAAACGGAAGTCACTGGGTAACTCTGACAGAGGTCTCCGTGGAAACGGGTGGAAAGGCAGACTGGAACTGGTGGATAAATAAATGGAAGAGGGTAAGAAATGGAGACAATATATGTGAGCGACGTTTTTGAAGACTCTGATTAAAAGGAGCGAAACTATAAGACCGGAGGGGAATTGCGGTAATTAAGAAAGAAAAAATTTTAAGGACCGGACAACAACGGAGCACGCTGCAGGCCGAAGGAACGACCCGAAGAAAAGGCGCCGAGGAGGCGGCAGGAGAAGGGGCGGAGTCCCGGGGACAGAGGGCGGGAGCGCGGGGCCAGCCCGCAGCAGGAGGAGCAGCGCCCGCGCCTCCGTCTCCGGAGAGGAGCTGTGAGGCTGCAGTGCGAGAAGGCCACCAGCGGGGGGCGGGCCGCGGCCCTGGGAGCCTGCCCCAGCCCGCGGGGAGTGCCCACTGAGAAGTGCACCGGGGACCCGCCTCGCCACCCCTGGGGGCTCGGCCGCAGAGAAGAGCAGGCAGAGCGCCAGGTCCGGTCAGAGACGGCGGGGCTCTGCCGGGCGGGTTCCGCGTGCCCAGCGTCCCTCTCCCTCGCCCCAGCAGAAGTGACGGAGGACGTGCAGAGACAAGAAGGAAGAGCACACACATTTACGGAAAGGGCATCCGCAGCCGGGCAAGAAGGACGCTTTTCGTTTTCTCTCCGTTTTCTCTCCGTCCGGGCAAGCCAGGGAGGGAAGCCCTGGCCGGAAGAGGACGTGCCCCGCTCCCCAGACAAGCCCGCCACCACACGCCGTCCTGGACTCAGAGCCCTCCAGGGGCTGGGAAACGAAGCGAAACGCTGAGTCCTTACTGTTAGAATGCGGGGCTCTGGGGTGACGAAGGCTTACCGTCAGAACCAGACAGACAGCATCTTCAGATGCTACATCTAACATCAAATCCCTTTCCTCAACAGCAAGACTACCTAGGCAACATGGAAATACTCAACCAAAATTCTTTTAATAATCTGCCAGCTGAAAATTTCCTTGCCTTCTTTGAAATCTACAGGCAAGGCACCACGTAATGTTCCAGCAGTGATCACCTGATCACCACAGCGGTTTTTCTATTTCAGTGGGCCACGTGACCGCAGTATTTACCACTTAATTAAATGTTGAAAGGGATTTAGCAATCTGAAATGCGGTGTTGAAATGTGTTGATGCCCACCACAACAAAGAAAAGTGAAACTCCGCTCGGGGCACCTGACTCGGAAGTGTTCCGGAGGCCACCGGAGAGCTGGGCGGCAGCGGCCTGAGAACAGGGGCTGGGGTCTTCCTGCTCGCTCTCCTGGTCACTCGCAACCGATGAAAATTCTCGAGAACATTTCCAAGAATGCTACCGCTTTAAAAATTCCTGTTTTCACCCATTCTACCTGCTTTGTAAAGCAAACTTTTAACTGATTCTGTCCCTACTTCCCAAACCCACCAAAATATTCTATTTTCCCGTAAGCGGAACACTACCTGTGTGGATTAGAGAATGAAAAGCCTGATTTTTTAGCTTACGTATGAATTGCACACAAGCGTTAACAGTTACGTAACTGACTCTGGCTTCCATTCCCATGGAAACTGAAAATGAATGATTAAAAATGGGACGTACTAATTAAAGAAGTGCTTAATTTCAGGTGCCCCCTCGCCCCTGGCTGTGGGGCCGGCACCACGCTCGCTCGGGAGAAGCAGGACGAGGGGACGGCGGGCGGCCGGGCACCCCCACCGGCCGCACTCCCTGCGCGGCCTGCCGCTGCCCCGCTCGTCGCTGACATCTCCGGCTATGTGTCAAGTAAACTGTTTCCTTAGAAAAACCCAAGAAAAAATATGAAAAACACCTTAGTGGTTCTTAAAATTACATGTGTACAGTTAAAACGCCAAGTACACTACAGACACAGCTGTGAAAATTACTGTTACAAACAGTACAATCCATAGTTTGGCATAGTTTGAACATGAGGAACTATAATACTGGGGAAAATAGTACTTTAACAGAATTTAGGAATTAATTGTTTTATTAGCATCAAATAACAAAGAGTCAAAGATTTGTTCAATTCTTTTTCATGTAAATAGAGAAGAAATATTCTTTGAGTTAACTATATGTACATGTTGCTGACAAGTGACAATATCACATGGACCATACAGAATATATCAAAAGTGCTTCATGGGCCCTGCCTGGCGTGGCTCGGTGGACTGAGCAACGGCTTGTGAAACAAATGGTCCCCAGTTCAATTCCCAGCCAGGGCACACGCCTGGGTTGCGGGTCAGGTCCCCAGCAGTGGGTACACGAGAAGCAACCACACATTGATTGGTTGCTTCTCTCCCTCTCTTTCTCCCTCCCTTCTCCTTTCTCTAAAAATAAGTAAATAAAAAATCTTTTAAAAGAAAAGAAAAAAAGTGCTTCATGATTTGAGGAAAAATGATCAAAAATATAAATTGAAAAATGATCAAAAATATAAATCAAATGGAACCAATAATCAGGGCTATATTTCCACCATTACTTTCCTACAGACCTAAACCAAATAACTTTAGAAAGGTATCTCATCTGTAATGGCCCATAAAAATAATCTTTAAGTGAAGTGCATTAAACTAAGTCAAGTGCAGCACGCTATCTGCTGGTACCCAATCTTTAAAAACCTGTCTTACACAAACGGAAAATCTCTGCTACTTGTTAAAATCCATGCAGGTCAGGCCACCTGAATCTCACGTTTCTGCTACGTGTTCACTTACAACGTGTCATTCCGACCATCTGCTCTAGTGGGAACTAGCTGATGGGACTTGGTATCTTCCCAGACAGCCCCCTGGGAAATGTCCGTGACCAGAAACTGTCAGAGGACCCCCAGCCCGCTGAAAGAGTAACGCCCTCACCAGACTGACGCTGTGCGTGCTGTCCAGATGCTGCGGCGGACGGCCTGAGCTCCCGGTCTGGGGAGGGCTGCAGAGGCGGCGGCGGCGGCGGGGGGCTCTCAGTTGCAGGCGCCAGGGAGGACGCGGAAGGCTGCAGAAGCTGCTCGGCCGGAGTGTCGATGTCCATCACCGCGTCACTCACGTCCACGCCAGTGCCTGACGGGGCCCCGGGAAGAGCCGACACCTCCAACGGACCTGTCCCACCTTGAGAAAGGACGTGTCAGTGCAAGCTCAAACACTAAATGCTTTCCAAAACCAGCTACTCAAAGAGAGGCATGTTCAGGGAACACAGGCACACTCGCACACATGCCCATACACGCACACACGTATGCACACACACAGGAGTATGTCATATACAAGAAATCAGAAGCACGCACTGGTGGTCTGGTCTATTTGACTAATTAATAGGAGTAAACATCTACCTACAGCATATTCTTGTTAAAATAATTGATCTTTTAAGCAAAATGTCCAACATGGAAGCTTTAGACAAAGCTAAATAATATCTTGTGAGATGCTTATAAACACTGCCTAGTCCGTTAAATTTAATGATGATTTGGATGTAACAGCTAAATAGAATAACCGATTTATAGGGATCTAGTTCCACTCTGTACCATCATGTGCTTTGTGAAATAATTAATGGGAGTTTCATTAGCAAAACAACAAACAGGCCAGAACAGGACTGAGGTTCTCATTCCATTTCACCAGCCGTGACACTTTAACCGCTGAACATGACGCGGCATGACTTTAAAAGGCTGAGGGTCCACTAGGTACCACCCTAGGCTTTCTGCTATCTGCAAAGGAATCATTAATACTCAATAACAAACTAAAAGGATAAACTGAACTTCATCAAAATTAAAAACTTCTTGCCCTGGCTGGAGTGCCGGCCTGTGAACCAAAGGGTCGCCAGTTCGATGCCCAGTCAGGACACAGGCCAGGGTTGCAGGCCAGGTTCCCCATTAGGGGGAGTGCAAGAGGCAACCACACATCGATGTTTCTCTCCCTCTCCCCGCCCAACCAAAAATAAATAAATAAAATGTTTTTAAAGAAGTTAAGTGATATTCATGAATTAACCAAACGCATTTATAGGTGAAACACAATAGCAATCTTGGGGTTCAGAGCACTTAGGGGCTGACTTCTGCAGCCCCCCCCCCTTCTCACAGAGGTAAGCAGCTGGCCAGAGACCACCGGCTGGAGAGTAGCGAGCAGCCAGGAGAGCAGGTTGCGGACGTCGTCGGAAACATGACTAACGGCCAGTGCATACAGGAGCCGAAAGGAGAAGGCATGCAATTACATAAACTTGTTTACCTACACAGTCTATGTATTTCTGCTCCAACACAAAAGGACTTTAAGTGGGAAATACCAGATGCTCTTACTTTTTCTGAGAAAAGCAAAAACTAAGGGCTAGAACAAGGGGGCCCTGCAGGGCCAGTTGCACCCCGAATGGGCTCCGTCCTCTCCCGCCTCACGCGGCAGCAGGAACCTTGCACCCCGCAGATCTAGAGCGCGGTGGGCAAGGCCGCCCCAGCAGCACCACCAGCGCTCCGGCGGTCCGGTGAGCAGGACACGTACCTGCGGACTGGGCCCGTCCTCGGCCTCGACTGCTCTGTGCCACCTCGCTTGCTTCTTCGAACCACCTGGACAACATGTCGGACATTCTCTGCATCAGCGACACATTGGGACTTTGCTCTCCTATGACAACACAGGTCTTATCAGTGACCTAGTCTTGAGTCGGCATCTTTCATTAACGCAAAACCCAGGTTTGAAAGCAACTAGAAGCCCCAAATTGCCCAAATGAAGCCTGAGAAGGCGCACAGGCCTACCCGAGCCCCCCTTGCCCGCCCTCCAGAGTGGGCCCTGAAGGGGTGGCACTCCGTCCTCGTCCCACGTCCTCAGGATCGGGGCTCCCAGCTCCCCGTCACCGCCCGTTCTCAGCAACCCCCACACCGACCCCGCCCGCCCCTGAGAAGGGCCCGGGCACTGCACGCTGAGCAGGCTGAGAGAGGTTTGCCCTCTCACTCAGACTCCTTACACTGAATGTGTTTTCACCATCGTTTACTGTAAGCAAATTCCACACGTCTGAAATGAACTGAAACCAGAGCATTTTAGTTGTCTCCTCCCTCCCTGCTTTTCCTCCTTCAAACGCATGAGTTTTTGCTTAAAAGCATTTTCCAATGAAGTATGACATGCAAACTGACAATTCGTTTCTATTCTACAATCATATAATTTAAAATGGAAACCGTTCCTGAATTTTCTGTGAAAACAGATTTTACACTTTATCGCCTTTATATAATACAGCTTTATATTTAAATGCATATTATGAAATAACACCAAGGATAATACACTGGGAAATGTGATTTTGACCTAGAAAGATTTCAGAAGTTATTAGAATAACATGCTCACTTACTGAAACACACACAGACTGGCTCTAAAGTGCCCCCTTGAAGTTCCCAAGGTCGTTTCCTACACCTGTCAAAGGCGCCTGACGGGAGGCAGAACATTTACGTGCTTAGGAAACCCTCTAGACAGAACTGAGGGTTTTCGTTCCGTGCAGATCTAACAGAAAGGCACTGGCAATGCCCACTGTGTTATGGGACGACAAGCATTCTCACACTCTCACTTAAAAATGTTCTACCGTATTTTTCCATGACCATCCAGTCCCCTTACACTCTCGTCCCCGCCCCCCACCCCCGCCCCAACCATTATTCACGTCCAGGAGTCCTTTTCCCTTTTGCTCCATCGCTGTGCCCCTAACCCCCCCACCCCAGCTGTCGTCTGCTCTCTAGCCTTCTGACACTTCCAGTGGGAGTGTCAAGTAGTGCTCTTTGGGGAGGAGGATTGGGTGACTATCAAAGTTAAAATGCACCATCCGGCGACCGTGCCAGCCCACTCCCAGGACGTGCCCGCGGACACGCACACGTGCGCAAGCGTGCTGGGAGCTGTACGAGGCTGCTTGCTGCGGCCCCACTTGCAGCAGTGAAAGCGGCGAGCACGAACACGAGGTGAAACACGAACTTTTAGATGCCATACACAGATAAAAAAGGCGACCAAAGCACAGTTACCATCTCGCTCGCGCTCACTCTCGGGCCTCGCGCGGGGTCCAGTGTCCGACCAGTCGCCGCGGAGTCTCAGACGCTTCACCGGGGGCTGCCGCAGCTGCAAGGGAGCAGGACACTCACTTTCTCGCCTTCGGAAGCGCACTTGAAGTCTAACAGACTCTCCCACCTCCCTACTCTCGGTGCGAGTCCGCCAGGGAGGTGCCAGATGGACACGGGACAAGAGCTGAGGAAGCCTCGCGGAGGAAACCCGCAGCCCTGGGCAGAGCCCGCTGGGCCGGCGGAGAAGCGCGTGCGCGCCTGGAGCAGGGAGGGCCGGGGAGGGCCGATGGTGGGGTGTCGTCTGGTGATGGAAGGTCTCGCAGCCACGACAAGGACCTCAGCCGGGCTCTGAGGCAGGTGGGTGCCCTCGGAGAGCCGGTCAGAAGAGTGGCGTGATCTGATGGGGGGGCTGCGGGCGTGCGGCGGGGGGCAGAGGAGAGAGACGGGACACCTGGCGCCAGGCGGAGGTGGCAGCCAGCGCGGGGGGCAGCACTGCAGAGCGGGTTTGCGTCTCAGAGCCGAACTGTGGGGGCCGGGAGAAAATGTGCGGCTGGACGCGGCGCAGCTGTCCAGTAATGAGATGGGACAGGGGCCACCCCAGTAAATGCAATGAACAAAGCAGAGGAAAAGGAAAAAAGAGGGAGAAAAAGAACTTAAAATAGGAAAGTGAGAAGTAAAAAACAATGGAATAAGACAAAAGAATATACTAAATAAAAAGAAGAAAATAAATTATTGGAGGATATGAGGACATAAAAAGAGGCCCCCACAAACTGAGAAACGTACAGATGTAGAGGGAACGTAAGAAGAAATCACACGTTATCACGTACTAAACCCGGTCCACACTTTAGACCCTGCTTAAGCTCCCCTCACGTCCCCGTGAGGACCGGTCACCCCTCCCCCGGTCTGCCTCTACAGAAGGTAGCTCTCACATCCTGCCCCCTTAAGTGTCGCACGCTCGTTTGCCCGTAGCTCTGCTGCCGCCGGACCGTGACCTCCTGCGTGAGGCTGGGCGCCGCCCCGCGCCTGCGCCTGGGCGCCCTCAAGCTCAGTGTCGGACTCAGTGGGCAGCAGGCGCCCAGGCGGGACCCTGCGGCCGAGGGCTCAGCACGGAACACGGAAAGAAATGGCGTGGGATGAAGATGGAGACAGATTTCCCATTTCTTCCTCTACGAACACCTCAACTGTTGGGTTGAGTACAATAAGCATAATCTGTTTTTATCGTTTTAAGCCATTTTCAGGGTTATTTCTCTTAACTTAGTTGCTCCAACAAAGTGCTGAGAAACACACACCCAGAGAACAGGCCCGAACCGGCTCTTCCAGGCCGGCTGCGCCTCACTCGCCGCGCAGACGCCTCCGGCTGACGCGCGACGGCGGGAGCGCTGGTGGGCCCCCGAGACTGCTTGTGCGTTTCCCGCTCGTCACCCCGGGGCAGCCAGAAGGCCTCCCTTGGACGTGCGGACCTCGGGGGGCACTCCACGGCCGCGAACACCGCGGAGCCACGTGCTCTGAGCGCTCCCCTGCCGCCGGGCCCCCTTCTCGCCGGCCCACCGAGGCTCTCAGGCCCGCTGCCACCTCTACAACCCCCGGTGTCCTGATGGAGTAACACCACTTCCTCTGACTCTGCAGCCCTCAGAGCCTGCAGTTGTAACAGCTGCGTGTGGCTTAGCGTCTCACAGCAATTGCACAAACACGTTCTTTACAATGTGCTAATAGGCCTTGGGCCAAAGCTAAAAACTCACTAATCGTCAATAAGAAGCAATGGTAAATTTCAAAAGTCATTTCACAAGCCAGAGTATAGTGACTAAACGAAGGACAGTGTAAAACAGAAAGGCCAAAGTGAAAAACATGTTGGGGAAAGCAGCTTAGCAGGGGAAAGCGAACATTTGTTTCTACCGCTGTGCACGGCCACGGATGTGTGGTTTCTAGTTTCTGCCTTTTATTAGGAAGGAAACAGTTAACCTGGTTCTGTGTGTGTGTGTACATACGTACATATACATATAACATATACTTTAACCTGCCTTCTTCCCACTCACTCATCTGCGTTTTGCGACAGGCCCCCGGAGACAATGCTACACACTCGCAGCTGTGAGAATCAGGCAGGTGTGGACGCGGGAGGGGCTGCCGTCCACGTGTGAGGGGCCGGGGGTAACAGGCAAAACCCGGCCTGGAGCGCGGACATGAACACTCGGTCTCCCACACACCTGCACATCACACTTCTGTTCCTCTAACTGCCTTTTCGGCAACCGCCAGGCCCGCTGCTGCTGTGCGACCCAGAGTCAGCGAGCCACGCTGCCATTAAATATTTCCTCCTCAGAACGCCACAATACTTTTTTAGAGCCTTTCTTAACTATCGGCCCCTTTCCTTTCATGAGTGTCTCATGCCCTTGTTCCCTAAACTGTAAACGTCCTGAAAACGAACTCTCCGTTTCAAAGCCCTTCGGGCCCAGAAGTCACCGGAGAGCGTGTCCTGAATTACTGGATTACACGAGGAAGGCGGTCCCGAGAACGCACCTCCTCCCTCCTCTCGTCCGCGGAGGGTGTCCGCAGCTCCCGCGCGGTGTCGTCCTTGGGGTCGAACAGATAGATGTAGTCCGAGGAGTAGCTCACCAGCACCTCCTGGCCGTCCTCGCTGTAGCACAGGGACGTCACCCTGCAGGACTTGTTGCTGAGATGCGGGGGCAGGAAGCGGGCCACCATCCCGGCCGTGCCCCGGCCCGCGTAGTTCCCTGAGGAAGACAACCGGACAGGGTTTAAAACTCACGTTTTTGAGAAAAACATTTTAAAAACTCTTAACTTGAACTAGGGAGATAAGTGATTTAATGTAGCAATAAAAACCCAAGCTATCATATTCTATAGGGTCCAGCACAAGTAACGCCCTTTTTTTTATTACAAAATCACAAGCATGTAATTCTGTGACGTAACTCTCACACTCAGGCACACCCTACGACATTCTAGGTGAAATGTTCAAATTAAAACTATACATTATTATACCCATATTACCCTACCCACCACAGTCAAGCAGGCCTTACTGTGCCTAGACCCTGTATTTCTAGAACAGGCTCCTTTTTCAATAACCAGGTTTTATAACAAAATTTTAGAAAATACAGTACAAAGGAAATATACCTTTATAAAATTCATGACTGTCTGGAATTCCAGATTATATAAACATTTTATTGGAAAAGAGTTATTTAATTTATGATTATAGTTACACTAAGTCATCTAAAAATTCTCAAAATTTTTATAATAGGAAAGCTGGTATTTATCGGCATACTAGATTAAATAATGCAGTATCCTTTGAAAGTGATCTACCTTTTATATCCTTAAAAAGTTTCTGAGTGTTGTGAAAGGTTTCTCTTGTAAGATAACGGGGGGGGGTGGATACTAGTCCAGCTTTAATTAACTTGGGTAGTGGTCAGTGCAACGCACAATGACCGAAAGGGGCGCGGTGGGCACGTGGCGCGCTGGGGGGCCAGGATGACAGAGGGGGCCACCAGGTGACACTGGATTCTAGAATCGAAGTCAGACACCAAGCAGTGCACGCGATCCTGCACAACGCGGTCTTGAACGAGGTCTTGCCCAAAATGTCAATTGCATGCCCTCTGTTGAGGGACAATAATTAAGCCTATAGTTTAATATTATATTAATACCGTTTTCCCAAATGTGCACATCCTAACAGAGAAGACTCCACAATCTCCATTCAGAAAAAATAACCCCCCCACCCCGGTCTTCCCGTTTCAGTAACCTCTTTAGTGGACGTAAGCTGACAATGAGATTGACACTGCGTCCATTTCTGGCCAAGTCTGCTTTTATTTCCCAGTAAAATGTGTGTGAATGTCCAGAAACGTGTACACAGAGCTGATGTTCGTGGTGTGAGTGTGTGAGTATCCCAGGCTTCCTTTCCTGAGAAAATGCGACTGGAAGCTGGCTCTGAACGGGGACTTGCGGGAGTGGCGGGGCCCCACGGAGGGTGCGGGGAGCTGGAGCCCAGGAGTGCAGGGCGCAACCAGAGTCAGTGCCGCAGCCTCACTGACGGCACTTGAACTCGGCCGTGCAGGCACGAACAGGCTACATGCCAACATACCTCCTAGTCACTGTTCGTTCTCAACCCTTCTCTCTGCCACGCGTACTGTTACCCTCTTAAGTTAAAGAAAATGGCAAAGAGAAATCAGGAAAGCCAAGTACTGAGGTCTGGACAGCGCCCCCACCGCCACAAATTCACGTCCACCCAGGACCTCAGCGCACAGCCCTGTCTGGAAAGAAGGTCTCCGCTGATGTGATCAGTATGATGAGGTCGTCGTGGACTGGGGGGCCCTGGAGCCAACAGGACTGGTGTTCTCACAGGGAGTGGGAAGGGGAACACACGCACAGAGTGGGGGCGGCGGGGAGTGCGAGGGTGGGAGCAGAGGCCGTGGGGAGGGAGGCTGAGGACTGCGGCGGCACCGCAGGCAGCAAGGAGGCAACCCGAGCCTGGGCCTCCCCTGGACCCCCAGCACAAAGCCAGCCCGCCTGACCTCCGCTGCAGCCTCCGCGCCAGGAGACAGGGAGTGCCCGTTCTTCTAAGTGACCCTGTGCACGGCCCCAGGGAACGGGCACATTTGACCCTCGGTCTCTGGGGGTTTCAAAGCTGTGGATTCAGTCTCCTGCGGAAGGAAAACAGTGCTTGCCACCCTCGGAGGGCAGAATGTACGCACTGTTCCCAGCCGTTCTACAAGGGACTTAAGCAGCTGGGGATTGGGGTACCCCAGGGGTCCCTGCAACCATCTCCTGAGGATACTTAGGGGTGACTGTACATCAAGTGTTGTAACTTTTTAAAGTAATAAACTGCAAAAGTATCACCCTGATAGGATCATAAAACTTGGTGAAATGCTGGTTTTTATAATACATATTCTCTAAATCCATTCTACTTATAAATTTTATAACAAACTCATGACATTTTAAAATTGTAAACAGCACATTTATTCTCTGAACAGACAGAATCTTGTACTCCTTCCGCGGCAGCTCTGTACCTGTAGCCCTCGTGCCCAGCATCCTCCGATCGTATATTCGCACCGAGCTGTCCGAACAGCCCACGGCCAGGTGGTACGGCACCGGCGGGCAGATCGCTACGGAAGTGGCGGCCCGCCGGCAGTTAATTAAAATATCCTACAAGACAAAACAACGGCAGTTTCACAGAGCTTTCAGTAGAGACGATACCGTATTGAAAAAATGTTCTCTTCAATGAGAAGGAAACAACCTTTCTCAGAAATCCCAATTCAGTCAGTACGACCACGAAGGGGGAAAGCAGTTTTCTTTGATTTTTCAGATTTCTTTCTATTAGCGAGCGCTCCTAACTGCCAGCTGGTGTGCAGGCGGGACAAACACGTGCGGCCGCTGTCCCTCCTCAGCAGCTGTCACCCCAGAAACACGCCGTCTTCCCCACAGCTGGCCGTGCAGTTCCCAAGTGGACTTCCAACACAAACTGTGTGCTTTCCTCACAAACCAAACACAGGGAGAAACTACACATGGAAATACTAAATCTAATTAAAAGATTTTAAAACCACCAATAATTGAGTGATGCAAAATACATTCTGAAAGGAAAAAATAAAAATTGTTCCCAGATTTAAGACTCAAAAAAAAAAAAAAGCAGCTACATTAAGAGCAGCTACAAAAAAGTCAGTGATAATTCAAGAAACTCATTATTTATATTATCGCAGTTTAAAGCCTTTTTTGAAACTAGCTGCATTTCAAATAATGACATAATACGACTTCAATTACTCCTCGGAAATGCCTCCCTAGCCTCACACACATGAAGAGCGAACACCTTTAAGAACGTGAAACACTCACACATGTAACATGTAAGTCGTTAACATGTTACAAATGCCCGCTGGACAGCACTGACGGAGGCACGGAGCGCCTTTGTCTACGACGAGTGCTCCTGGCTGTTTCACGGGGTGCTCGCAATATTTTAGTTAGAGTTGTTGCTACTAATATTAAAAAATTCTCAGTTGATTTTAAACTTTTATACTTTCCTTCACTTGTAAACTCTTTCTCCCTACCAGTTCAAAAACAAAGTACACACACACACAAACCCTGTAAAAGACAGGGTTTACCCCAGTGTCCCTCCTTCCCTTCATGTAAGCAGTAGAAAGTGTAAGAGCCATAACTCTGAATATCTATCCTTAAGGTATTCTGTTGATTTTACACTATTTTGCCTGTGACTCAGCTCCTCACTCTTAGGTTTTATTAGCTTAATTATTGACTTAGAACATTATTCCTAATACATGGAACTGGTTCACCAAATGCCTTTTATAATTCCGTTTTAGTGGTTAAGGACTGCTTTAATTGCCAGTTTTCTTCATGCTTTACCTCTTAATTTTTATATATAAAGAAGTAAAAAGTTTTATTAAGGAAAAAATTTAAGATTTCAGTTTTGTTTATGTTTACAGAGGGGATGGGAGGGAGAAAGAGGGAGAGAAACATCCATGTGTGGTTTGTCTCTTGCACGCTCCCTGCTAGGGATCTGGCATGCAATCTGGCATGTGTCCTGACTGGGAATCGAACCACCGACCCTTTGGTTTGCAGGCCACTGCTTAATTCACTGAGCCACACCAGCCAGGGCTGAAATTTTGACAGTATTTTCATTTATCAGTCTTGCTTTCATCTTTATTTTTACTGGGTGTTTTGTTATAAAAGCACAATTAAATCCTACCACATCGTACACTAAAATACTGCTTATGAGGATTTGGCATAACAGACTTTAGTACCTCCCTTTTCCTAAGAAACAGACCTACCGGATACCCCCAATACACAGCCTGATATTTTAAATTTATTCTGCCTTTTGCTTAATTTAACTCTTTCCCAGCTGTGTGTGTGTGTGTAAATATATGTAACATAAAACCTGACTTAAAAATCATACACTTGAAAATTTAATTTCTATTCTTTTTTTCTTTCAATATAGAAAATAATCCCCCCAAGAATGTTAATAGTAACATTATTAGCAAGCACTTAACCTCATTACTTTCAGTAAAAAATACATTTAGCAATACTTTCTTATTTTATTTCATACTTCAAAATGATTTGAGAAAAAAAGCCACACTCTTTAAATAACATCTGAGGTTAGCTGTCCAGGGCCACCGTGTGACTGCTCAGGTTTTTCTCAGGGTTAAAACAGTATTAAATACGAAATTGGTAGTGAGGCTCTGTCTCCAGAGAACTGAACTAGCTGAGTGACAAACACATTGGTAGAATGGTATCTTACTACTTTTTTAGAAAGATAACATAAATTGTTGGTTTAAAAGTCAGGGTTAAATCAAAAGGAAAATATTAAACTTTCATTATGGTTATTGGTAAGCCACAATTATCTCCATAAGTAAATGAGATACACTGATAAATTCTTCAACTTTTTATAATGCCTGAGCATATACTGAATAATTATACACATTTTCATTTATATATTTGAAATGTACAATTAAAATACAAGTTATCTAACTTCTCTATTAATATTTTAATTTTTAAAATTTGACCATAAAACACTGGTATTTGCTACTGAAGATTTTAGCAGAACAAAGATGGTAAAATTGATCCATAATCTCACAATCCAGAGGGAGTGTCCCGTGATAATTTTGATGATAACCTTAAGTACTTTGCACCATTTACACAGAAAAGTGACTCTTACGTCTTTGCAGTCTTCTTTGGAGCAGCTGGTTTTGATGCGCGTGTCGAACCACCTGACGGTCCCGTCCTCGCCGCAGGAGAGGAAGGTGTGCGGGTCGTTGGGCACGGTCATGATCTGGCAGCGAGAACAAAGCCCAGGCACCGTCACTGGCCGCTCGGGCGGGTGGCCGCCGCGAGAGGCGCGGCTACGGTTCCAGAAAACGGGGACGGTGAAGGCCACGAAGAGCCCCTCACTTCCGTTCTTTATGAGTCACCCACGCCACAGTTCGGAGTAGTGCAATGCACACAGAAATACGCAAGAAGTAACTGCTGCATTAATAAAATCCATTACTTTGAAGTTTGAAATGAATGTTCCTACAAATAGAAAGTTCTTTAAAATGGAAAACTTCTAACAACTTCGATAAAAATTCTGCTCTCAAAAACTTAAACTAGTCAAAGCCTAATTTTTACTTTCTGGATGTAAATGTATACTTACAAAAACATAATTTTTTCTTCTATGATAATGCTTAAGAAAACCATAAGATGCTGAATTGATTAAAACACTTAACTGACCTTTCAAAAATTTTGACCAAATTTCACGATTAAGATACTCAACAAACTAAGAACGGAAGGAAAGCACCTCAACTAAACACAGGCCACAGGTGAGCAGCTCACAGTTAACGCCGCAAGCCAAGGGCGAAAACCTGAGTGCTCCCGCCAAGATCAGGACCAAGACAAGGATGCCCACGCACGTCACCTCTATTCAACATGGCACTGGGCGTTCTGGCCGGAGCAATCAGGCAAGAAAAAAGAAATAAACGTCACAGAAATTGAAAGAGAGAAAGCGAAATTATCTCTGATTGAAGATGACATGATCTAATATGCAGAAAATTCTAAAGACTCCACAAAAAAAATTAAGACCAACAAATGAATATAACAAAATGTCAGGTTAACAAATAAACACAAAAATCACTTGTGTTTTTCCTATGTACTTACAATAAGCAATCTGGAAAGGAAATTAAGCTATTACACTAGTAGCAAAAAAAATAAAACACTTCGGATTAACTTATTAAAAGAGGTGAGAGACCTGTGCACAGAACATGACGGAACACTGCTGAGAGAAAGCCGACACAGACGAAAAGACATCTGTGTGGGTGAACTAGAAGACTTGATACTGTTGAAATGTCCGTGCCACTCAAGGTGGTCTAGATGTGTGTGTGTGTGTGTGTGCGCGTGCGGGCCCGCGTGTGTGTAGAAAAATATTAGGGTGATCTAAGTTTAATGCAATTTCTATCAGAATCCCAGTGGCATTTTTTCTTTCCTGAATCAGAAAAAATCTTAAAATCCATATGAAATCACCAAGGACAAGAAACAGCAGCCACAACCTGGACAAAGGAAAACAAAGCTGGAGGCCTCACATGTGCTGATTTCAAAGCACACGACAGAGCCACCGTCTTTAAAACACTGTGGCACTGGGACGAAGACAGACACACAGGCACACCGACCACGGAAGGCCTGACTTCGTAAGAGACAGCAACAGAGCGGTGAAGAGGGCACAGCCCAGGAGAGAGCCCTCAGGCACAACACAGGGGCGTCTTTTAAAAGGCTGACGTCTGCGCTTAGAGTACAGTGGCTCACGCCACCGCAGACGCACAATAATGAGTATTATTAATGCTCGTTTCTTCTTTCTTAACTGTACTCGCAAGCTTATCAAGACTTGCTTCCTCAAATACTTAACAGAAACCTAGATATTCTGCCAATGATTTCCTTGCCTACACATGCATGAGTGTGTATGCATACACGTACACAAATCTACACATATGAACGTCCACGCGTGTACACACATACTTTACACACACGCGAAGGCGTGGGTGCCGCACCTCGTAGGTAGTCCCGTAGTGGCATGTGAACTGGCACTGTCTGTTGGTCTCCGCGTCCTGCTCGACGTTGGTGTAGAAGATCACGCCGTCCCCAGAGCAGGACACGATCTGCTTGTCGTTCGTGCACGGCAAGAACTTCGCGCTGAAGATGTTGGCTCGGTGCCCGGAGCGGATTGTCGTCAAAACCTGAAACACACAGAAACGGGAGAGCAGCTCTTGGTAATTTATTGTTTCCTAGAAAGAAGCATTCATATTGAACATAATCATGGCCAGGAACACATTCTCATTAACATTCTCATCTCGATGAAAATTATCATTTGATTCTGCACAATTATAATTAGGGAACAAAGAACTCAGAATCAATCATAGTTTCTTTTTTTCCATCTGAGATGTGAAGATAACTCCTCATTACCAAGGCAGTTATTTGTTACTTTTAGGATTATTTCAGAAATACCTAATCAAGCATATTTCGGTTGTCTTCAGCTGGAGGACTGGTCCGAATAAACTAGCCCATAATTTCTGGAAAGTGAAACTTCTCCTTTTTATATATTTGAGATTAATGACATATCATTAAGACAGACCCTTAATAAGAAAGACCTCTAATCTCTTCAATCTATATGGAGTGCTCTGAAATTAAGTGCACTTGCAATAAATTAATCTTCTCGTGAACTCACAGGATCTAAAATAGAGTGAAACTATAAGAACAGATTTGACTCAGAATCAAAACACTACTTTCCTGTCTAATGAATCAGAGTGTTTTACAATTAAAAAATATTCCTATATGACACCAAATTTGGAACTATCAAAACAACTATGTGAAAAAGATCATCATTATACTTAAAATCTCTAAAAGTATTATCTGATTAGTCATTTCTCAAACTGGAAATGAGGATGGGTAATGATTAATTGCTTTTCGGATACACAAAATCTACTGGGAAGCATGTGTAAAGCAAATGTTATTTTTTAAAAATAAGCAATTGAAGGAGAAACATGGTCTTTTAAAAATTCCGCCATGGGGCGTTTTCACAGAAGAACCTGGAAAGCAAGGATCTGCAGAGGTACCGGCACGGCTGCGACGTCGCTCACAAGGGACAGGAGGCGGAAGCAGCCCCGGGGCCCACCGCCAGATGAAAGGGCTCACCACACGGGCACACAGCGGAACGTCAGTAGCTCCCAAAAGGACGGAAATCCCGACACACGCTGCCGCGTGGATGAGGCCTGAGAACACGCTGAGGGGCACGAGCCAGTCACAACAGCACAAATGCTGCGCGCGCGCGCGCGCACACACACACACACACACACACACACACACACGAAGGAGGTTCGTCAACATCGACCCGCGGCCAGCAGCACCGGCTGCCGTACCCAGAACCAGATGCGGCTCTAAGAGCGGTCAGGTCCTCAGGGACGGAGGTCAGGGGCTGCGGGGAGCACGGAGGGCCGCTGCCCCCTGGGCAGGGTTTAATCCCGCGGGACTGAAGAGCTCTGTGGCCGGCCGGCGGCGACGGCACGACAGACAGGTGAATGTATACGTGATGTCACTGAACTGAACTTCTAAGCATGGCCGAGACGGTTCATTTTATGCTGCGTATATTTTATCATCACGTTAAAAAAAAAACAATACAGCTCTGCATCTTTTAAAACAATTCTACTGGTACCTAGATGAATGATTCGTGTATTATGAGCATTACAATTCTGACAGTGAAATCGAAAAGCATTTCCACACATACAGTATTTCAGGATATTTCTCCACAGTCAGAAGAAGGTGGCCCTAGTAATTCCAGACCTAAGAGAAGCAGAATTTGAAAACATCGAGTTTCCCTCTGGTAAGTCAGGACAGTTAAGTAAAGCTGTGTGTGAAATACAGTTATGGCCTATCTTTTAATCAAGGGCAGCCTCAACATGACCTCCCTCTAGGCTAAAGGACCACAAACACTTATTTAAAAACCTTCACTGTTTGTAGAAATACGAGAAACACGTGAACCGTCTATTCTATGAGACTGCTAAGTAGTGAGTCAGACTGCCCATGTACCATGTTCTCACTGATACAAAACAGCAGCGCACTTCTGTACATGAAGTCAGAGGAAGGGCCAATAAAAACCAGAACACAACCCTAATTAAAACTTGACATGCTATGATACCCGGCTTGTTGAACTGAATGTCAAGAGGCGTCACTGGGACCTGGCCCTGACAAAATCCAGTTTTTTAAACTGCTTGGCTTCAGATTAGATTCTGTGAGCATAAAAGAAACAAAAAAATCATACACATCATCTTCCCACCACCCCACCGAAGAATGCTCTTTTCAGATAATGTCACTTCTGGCAGTTTTATCCACTTGGATAACACGAAGCATGCTTAACTACTCCCGAGTCAAAAGGCCGAGAGAAACCTAACACTTTCCTACAGAAGGCAGGGGACCTGACTAGAACAACTTCCAAGTTACATAACAGACTTTAGCAAGATAAGAATATTCTTCTGCAAATGTCCATTCCATGGTTATTTACAATTTCTTGATTTCTTTTTCTCGTTAAGTTGTAGATTTTTTAAACCACTAACCTTTCTGCTGTAAGGATTACTAATTACTAACTTGGTGTCATCTGAGCCAGATAAAATATATTCTCCAGTTTCATTCCAACAGATTGTATTAACCTAAAAAGAGAAAAGAAAAAAAGAGATTTCAGCAAACTGAATATAAAAACAGGTGTGCCACCTTTTACTTAACTGATGGTTCAATTTTTATACCACTAATGAGGTTACACCTATGGTAAATAGTATTTAGCAGTTTACTTATCGAAAGTACATCCTGACCACCATTTAGCAAACACAATGTTCTGAAAATTCACAATGAAATGTCTGTCTCCCTTAAATTTTATTATTTAAATTTATTTTAACTTCTTTTCTATCCAGAGACACAGACCCAGGCCCCCTAGAAAGGAACCGGGAAAGCTCCCTGCACGCCCCCGGAAGCCCAGGCTGCACCGCCCTCACGGTCCCGGGCGCGCCCGTCGAGAAGGCCGGAGGGTTTAGACGCAGACCCGTGCATGAACGGTGAGGACTTTGAGTCAAGGGGTCTAAGACCCCTCAGTGGAGAAAGAACAGCCTTTTCAACAAATGGCGCTGGAACAAGTGGATTACACACAAGCAACAGAATGAATTTGGACCCCTGTTTCACACCATGTATAAAAATTAACTGAAAACAAACAAATATCTAAAGCCAAAACTATGAAACTCTTGGAACATAGGTGTAAATCTTCATGAAAACTAAAACCACAATGACTTACTACTTCACGCCTACTAGGATGGCTATAATTTTAAAAAAGAAAAAGACAAGAGTTGGCAGCATGTCATGTCAAGAAACGGGAGCCCTCCTACACCGCTGGAAGGGCTAACTCCACAGCACGGCCCATGCCCAAGAGAAGAAAAAAACACGTCACACAGAAACTTGTACACAAACACCCGCAGCTGCATGATTCGTAACAGCCCAAAGGGAAACCAACCCAAACATCATACACAAAACGTGACTGCCTGTTTGCTCACGGAAAAGTACCCACACAACCAAACATCCTTCAGCCGCTCAAAGCAGGGACACGCTGCAGCGCGGGCGAACCCAGAAGTACTCCTGCAATGCAGAAGGCGGCCTGAAAGGCCGCAGACTCCCCCACGGATCGGATCCCCGTATCTGCGGCGTCCAGAAGAGGCCTATCTACGGAGACAGAGGCGGGGCAGTGATGGCCAGCGGCCGGGTGGGGAGGGCGGGCAGTGACTGATAAGCGGCGCCCACGTGCTTCTGCAGACGCTGGGGACGATGAGAACCAGGCAGTGGTGTCGGCCGGGCCCCAGCACAATTGCGTTGTAACAACACCAAGTTCCAGGGAGATAAACGGTGACAGAGGACGCCTGACTCGGGGTGGTGAACACACAATACACTGTACGGTTCATGTATTATAGAACTGTACCCCTGAAACCTACATAATTTTATTAACTAATGCCAGCCCCAATAAGTTCAATAAAAATAAATAAAAAATTAAAAAACCACTGAATTGCAGGTTCAATGGGTGAATTTTACAGTACGTGAGCTATATCTAAATTTAAAAAAAGAATTAGACTTACACTTTCAGTCAAGATGGAGTAACATAGACAAACTACTTTAAAAAAACATACTTTTCTAAATTCAAAATTAATTTAATGTCTTAATGCAAAAGTGGATTCCCCCATTCCCTGCAGTCAGGCATGATCTGTTGGGGGGGGGGGGCGGGCCTGGAACACGTCTTCAAACACCGGAACACTGGGTTTGAAGTCCTTCACGGTGTGGAATTAACTCTTACTTACACAGCCATCGTGCACATTCAGGGTTGCTTCAAGTTTTAATCTTTGGATAAATTCTCTTCTTCCTGTTTAGAAAGAGGGAGAGAACTAAGTAAATCCTGCGTTCTACTGCCGAGTGGAAGCACAGCACTGCGGTCAAGACCTCCCACGGGGCGTCGGTAGGTTCCGGCTCTGACTGCAGCTCCTCCACTCACGGAGCGACACCGGGCAGGTTAAGCCCACCCTGCGGTGCCCTGGCTGCTCTCCGAGTCCCCGAGTCCCCACCCACCTCTGCCCCCGCGGCTGCTGCAAGCAGTGCGTGACCCCAGGACAGAGAGGGCTGGGTGCAGTGTCTGGACCACAGCGAGGATCAAGGGCTCCCTCCCTCCACCCATGCACCCAGCAAACACGCCGGGGGCTCACTCCCTTCCCAGCGGGCTCTAGGCTCTAGGAAGGAGCTGGAGGTGCAGTGCTGAGGCGGGACAGCAGCAGCTCCCTGCGCGCAGGTGGGGGACGGAGGACAGGAAACGACGCGGCTCCTGGTGAGGGCGCTACAGGGAAAAGCAAGCAGCGAAAGGGGTAAGCCAGGCCGGAGGGCAGGACAGGGTTTTCGGCGTTACGCAGGTTTGTCAGGCGCTGCCCACACTTACGCACACCCCGATTCCAGAAGTGTGACAATATTTCCAAGCTCATTTCACAATGACGAAATGTGGCGGAAAAAGGAAATCAAATCAACCTAGATGTCCATCCATGTAGGACAGTTATAACACTACAGAAATAGACCATGTTCCTCCTTTGGAAAAGAGGAGTGTTTCCCTTTAAGAAATGAATCCTCTGCACCAGAGGAGGACCACAGGGCGTCGTGTTTATCCAGAGGCTGTGATGAAAGGAAGCGGAGCACATGACAAAGGGCGACAATTAGCTAAGTAATCAGGCTGATGAGGGCGCGCTACAGTCACTTTCGCCCGTGTTCTCTGCCTCCTGCGCTGGGGCACGCTTCTCCGCTATGATTTCTTGCCGTTCCACGTGAGGACCGCTATCTTTTTAAGCCAAAGTGGGTTTTTTCCCCACCTTGCTGATAAATGTCAAGATGGCTAGGTAGAGGATGAGCATAGGGGTTAAAAAATAATTTTATTTGGGGGGGAGGGGATGCTCTATGGTTCCGAAACTTATTGGAATAAAACAATTCACAGAAATTCAGTAAAGTATTTGTACAAACTATGTTGTACTTCAACTCTTCGAATCTTTCCATTATAAAAAGATGCTAATAGTAAACGAATGCACTTTAAAAAACCTTTCCCATTTGAACAACTGACAGGTTTGGCAATTCTACTAAGTAATAAAATAAATTAACAGTTAAGAAATAAAGCAGTCAAATTAACAATGTGGTAACAATTCATTAAAATGCTTTTTAAAAAGTGCTGGAAATTTTTCCAAGCTTCAAAAATCTGGTTTTTACAACAGAGCTCTAGCCACTGCTGTCTACAGGAAACCACGGTGGCACGTGAGAGAAAGGACAAGAGCTAAACACACGGCTCCTGAGTGATGTTTCTGAACGTGACTTTGGAGATCGAAACTGTTAGGCGTCCACACACCCCCTAAAATGTGCTTCTGAACTGACCAGCGTCAGCGCCCTCCACCATTTCAGTGGCAGCGAGTACACCACCAAGAATGGGAGCTGAGAGCCCCCAGAAAATAAGGATGGGAAGTTGAAACACCTGACCCCCCCAAATCGAAGTAAAAATAAACCCACGTCCATTACAGAGGGCCACAGAGCCCGGCCTGCTGGTGGGCTAACACGCGACCTGCCATTTCACGGGTGCCGGCAGCGGACTCAAGACGCCCAAGTCAGAGGCAAAGCACTGCGCCGCTCCCGGCCCGGCCAGCGGTGCGGGCTGCAGGTCACAGGGGCTGCCCGCGCCCCCCAGTTCCCACTGGGCAACACGGAGCGACCTGGGAGCGACACTGTGCCAGCAGTGGGTCTGAATCACGGAGGGGACCGAAATCTTATACCCAGAAAACCTGCCTGACATAATGGACACATTATCCTCATCACAATGGACAATAAATAAACGTGCCCTCTGCCCCAGAGGGAGATACCGTATCTCCCAAGGCTGTTCCCCACAGAAACGTTCTTGGAAAGGCAGCCCGGACAAAGCCGCCAGGGCCTCTGCTCGAGAGATGCCAGGAATGTCGGGAGCCACGGAGGACCCTCCCCACAAGGACACCCTTGTTACCTTACGGGTGAACCGGCCTCCCGCCGGGCCTGCTACTCCAGCCTGCCTGCCTCCTGTAACCCCACCTCTGCCTGCACACTCCACTCAGTAGTGAGGGCTGCAAGCTCCTAAAAAGAGGAACACCCTCGGTTCACCCAGGTACCCCAGGTGCCCAGCACAAAGCGGGCGCTCGGGCTGTACTTGCTGAATCAGTGGGTAAACGAGTGGGACCCGCGTCTTCCCTCTGTTCTGTGATCCTCTCCGTGGTACCCACGCCTGGCTCCCTGATGAGACAGGAGACCTCGGGACACGAAAGGGCCGGACCCGCGTTCAAACACCTCACTCGGGCCGCACTGCACACAGGCTGGGCGGAACTCGACCCCTCGGAACCCATTTCCTCACTGGTGAGGGTTTCACGTTTGGTGGGAACAACACCGCCGGCCCTGCAGGTTTACTGTCGAGAGAGTGAGTAATCAGCGCGCGCAAACCCCTGGGTGTGCCGGCACACTGCAGCCTCCCCACGGGCCTGGGCCCCTACCCGTGGGCCTGTTCCCAGTAACACTGTCGGGGGGAGAGAGAGAGAGAGAGAGCACTCCGTTAAAGGAGTGGAGGTCGCCTCGGCTGGTGGAGAGCGAGCAAGGCGAGCGACACTGAGAAGGAGGCGCCACCACGGACACGCTCCCTCTTCTTCCTGCTGTTGCCCCTCTGAGCTACTTCTTAAGGCCAAGTCTCCCGTCGCCTACATCACTGCCCTCCCTGGCTCACGGCCAGGGCTCCCTCTCCCTGCACCGTCCTTTCGGTCGCCTCCTCGTCATCGGCTGGGCTCTCAGAATCAGGGCCTGTCAGTGAATCCGGTGGTCTCTTGTAAGGCTGGTTTCTCCGGACCTCAGCGTCTGATCTGTCGCCGCTGACAGCTGTCTGCCCGAAGTCGTCTTCTGCAGAGCACCCCCACCTCCCGCCCCAGCACCTCACCCCACAACCAGAACTGAAAGCCAAAGGGCGACAGAACGCCAGGGAGACAGAACACAGACAAACACGGGGAACAGAACCAAATATGTGTAAGGTCTGCACACTGAAAAATATAAAAGCATAACCCACCGCTGAGGGAAATGGACGAACAGCTAACGAGGAGGAAGAAGAGCCACCTCTGTGGCCTGGCTACTTCCGGGGGGGCAGCCAGGCCCCCGAAACAACGCACAGGTCCAACGCGGTGCCAGCCAAAGCCCCGGGGGTCTTCCGTGCACAAATCGGCACACTCACTGATTCTAAACTTTCTATGAGAGTTCAAAGGACCCAGAATAGCCAAAAAAAAAAAAAAAAATTTTTTTTTTAAGAACCAAGTTCAAAATCTCGCCCTAGCTGATTTCAGTGCTCATGACTCAGACAGGGCCTACCGGCAGAGAGACAGACACCGAATCCAACGGCACGTGGCCGAGATCCCTGAGCTCCACGTCCATGGCCAATTCTCTCCCACCAAGGGAAAAGGGCAGAGCTCTCCGAACGGCGCTGGGCCAACGCACAGTCTCAGGCCGAGAGGGAAACTTGACCCCTTCCCTCGGAGCACAATTACCGTGAAATTGTTCACAGACCTAAATGTGAGAGTCAAAAACACAAAGCGTCCAGAAAAAAAAATGTATGGTGGAAATCACTATGACCTTGGACTAGGTGAAGATTCTTAAACAGGACACAAAAAGTATGCACCACAAAAGACCCTGTTAAGAAAAATGAAGAACAAGATAAACTGGGAGAACATACTTGCAGAACAGCTATCTGATTAAGGGCTTGTATCAAGAACATGTGAAGAATTCTCACAATATTAAAAAGGTAAATCTGAACATTTAACCAGAGTGCAGGGGTCGCAGATAAGCCGTGAAAAGACAGCCTCGCCAACCAGGAGGATTAGATCAAATGCAGAGTAGAACAACAATGTGCCCCTCCATATGCAGGAGAAAGGCTAAAACTAGGAGGGCTCGGACCCCACGCGCTACCGAGAATGTGGAACTGGATGCTCCCACGCGGCTGGCAGTTTCTGGTAAAGCCACACACACCCCCCGATGCAGCAATCCCACTGTGGGCACTCACCCGAGAAAGGAGGGTTTAAAAGTGTCCCACTCTAACTAGTTTCCAAAGTGTAAATGAAAAGTCTCATTATTTATATCTTCCAGATCAGCCATCAGCAGTGTTTAAAGAAATTTTTTTTAATCTGCTGTAAATACTTGGGAACCCAAGCTGCACTAACCTTGACGTCAGTAACACTCAATGACAATTATTTAAAAAAAATGCACACCACCTAGTAGAGTTTTGCAAACCTCAAGCCGAGACTCACTAGCGGACCTTCTACCGGATCAACAGCAACATTTTCAACATGGTCGTAAACAGAAATGAGAACGTACCCCACCCAGCAAGACCAAACCACGTCTGCAGAACCTTGTATTTCAGCTGTGGGTCACAAGCCGCTCCCTGTGTGTGTGTTTACTGTGGGCTGTGGTCACAGCATTTTCGAAAGCCGACCCAAAGCCTAAGAGTGGTGCCAGGCCGGTGCTACCGGAAGCTCTTATCCCTGCTAAGCGCGTCCACCCCGCGCCAGGGAGAGACCAGATCCTCCGCAGGGCGGGCCTATCCTGCCGGCTGCGCTTTGATGGACAGTATGGCCTCCGGTGGTCTTATTCTCAAGAATCAGCACATTCTATTGTATATGGTTTTCACATTTGACATCTTCACTACTACAATCAGACATTTTTCAATGTTCACTGAGATTTCAAAACTCAAGAAACAACACAAATCTCCACTAACTCTTCCCCAGTAGCTAACTCGGAGGCAAAAGTCAGAATGCACTGACCTTCGTAATATAACTTGGCAACACGTTGTAAGTTTGCTAAATCAGAATGCAGATGTAAGCCAGGACATGCCAGAGAGAGTCATCTAAATGCAAAATCCCTCTCAATACATAATGACCTTAATAATATTCAGACACTGTCTTTCTAATCTCCTTACAGGAAAGATTTCAGTCTCCACCAGGAAGTCGTCCCGGGCTGCCTGCTATGTATTCTGAACGTCTGCGTGCCCCCCACCCCCCTCTGCTGGAATCCAGAGCCCCTCGGTGACGGCATCAGGAGGTGGGCTCCTGGGGAGGTGCGTGGCATTGGATTCGGGCTTTTCTAAGAGCCCCCGCGGCCAGGAGCCCGCAGGGAAGAGGGGGGTGCGCACCACCAAGCAGGCCTCACGGGGCTTAGAATCTCACCAAGTGGACAGCAAATCTGTCTTCCAGCCTCCAGGCTTGTTCCAAATAAACTTCTGTTTATAAGCCCAGTTTATGGCATTTTGCTACAGCAGCCCACACTGACCAAGACACTGCCTCATCATAATTTGAACATTTTATATTAAGCATTTTATACATTATAGCAAACAGTTCCCTCAGAAAGTTGCTTAAAATTTACTTTTGTCAATTACCATTTTTTAATTTAGAGGAGTTAGGAAGTGTTCATTCAACTTGTAGACAAGTTCGTCTAAAATGAGACAAAGATGGAAAGAGGCGATGTACAGAAATGATAGTTTCCTTTATAAGCAATGCTTATCTTTATAAACCCGTATCCCCTAAGCTGTGTGTGGCTAATAGCTCATTGTAACAATCACTGAACTCCAAAAGCATGACCTGAGAAACTCTGAAACACCTGCACACTAGTCAGGACTTTGACAATTAGTGTTTAAAAAAATAAATCCCACACTGACATTAACGTTGGGTTCATAAGGATGACCATCCCCGGCCTCTGTCCGAGCCCATGCTGGGTCAGGTGAACGTGGGGCTGTGAGGAAACACATGCTTTTTCTCCCAAATAACATACGACAAATTATCTTCATTCCCACGATGTAAAAGAATGTTTTGTGAACTGTAATTCTATGAAAGGAAAAGAGATAATTAACCAAATATAAATAAAATCCATGTCGAAGCTTGAATACTACTGGTGAAAAGATACATTCTATGGTGCAATAATTTAAAACGTAAATGTCACAAGAAAAATCTGTCAATTCGTTCTATCCCAGTTTCACTGTGATTTGGCAACAGTTCAATATTAGAAATACAAATAATGAAAATAAATTAGAAATATAATTAACCTACAATATTATAGATAATCAGAATGTTTAAATGTTGAAATCTCAAAAATGGGATCTATTTACTGTCTAAAACAGCTGGACTCAAACTGCTTAAAAGAAAGACTTTATAAGAGTACTTCAAAATATCATTTTTTAAAACTCTCATTAATCCAAATACTGCTAATGTGGATTTTGCTGTTTCCTGAATGCTAACCCAAGATTATTGCTGTTGTGTTGACGAGCTGGGTAAACCCAACGGTATAAGGTATAGGAAGGCCAATCAATACAAGCTATTTTCAAATACTTAGGAAACCACTTTTAAAGGAAGCTGTTCTGAGAATGTGCTAATCATAAAGTATTTATGATTAGCACACTTCAAATGTTATTTAAGAGCAGGAACTCCCTGTAAACATACACATATATTTGAAAACCTATCATTTAGACTTTCCACTAAAGACAGGAGACTCCTGTCCTACTCTTCCATTTCCCTTTGCCCAACCCAAACTCCACTCCGTTAGGGAGGGAGTTAGAGTAGGAAGGGGAAAAAACACAGGGTTCTGACTTTAATCAACTGTCGCAGACACAGCTGACCTAACGGAACCAGAAGAAAACATTAACGTATAAGCCCACATGCGTTTCTACAGAACGAGCAGCTCCGTTTGTCCTGCCAGGGAAAGATCTCCCAGATGTAGGGCAGAAAAAGCAAGCTGCACAACCACGTTCGCAGTAAGACACCGTGCCTGCAGGTCACAGACACACACGCACAAAACTGCAGCGTCTCGGTGCGTGTGTATGTGCCGGTAGGAACGCAAAGGAACGGTCTGGACAGATACTCAGGAAACAGATAATGAGGTTATCTCCAGGATGTGTGTGTGACACTGGGATGGGAGGGGTCACAGGCATTTTCGCTTCATTTTTATTAAGTTCTTACAGAGACTGTATTCAAGTGACTTAAGACCCTAAAGACACAAGAATAAGAAGAAAAATGCTTCCAACTTAACTATTTTAGAAACCAGAACTGTTAGATGTAATGAGATTTCATCTCCTTTTACTGACTTGAAGTCAAAACCAAATGACACCCATAAAGACTTACCCAGCAAAAAGAGACAAAATTGGAAAGAAAAAAAATTTAATGTTGTCTCGTCTTCAAATAAAAGAGAAAGAATAAAGAGGGATGAAAAGATTGCACAAGAAAAAAACAGACCCATACTCAATAGTGGACTTTTTAGTTAGCTCACGCATGACCCAGAATCCTAAAAAGCCAAAACAAAACAAAAAAACCCCACTCTATCCAAAACGAATACAAAAAGTGGAATACGGTTCCCTCAAGCACTGAAGGCTGTTTTTAGAAAGGTGAACTAAGAAACAGAAAATGCCAAGTGTGTGTGCTGCAGGGCTGGGAACGGGAACGCGAAACCCTACACCTCCTTAAGGCGGTCAGGCCCAACCGAACAGCGGGTCGCCCCGGAGCGCCCGCGGGGGTGGGGACAGCTCAGCCCTCACGTCCAGCCTTTGGCCCCGAGCCGCGGGGCACTACGCGGAGCCAGTTCGGAGCGTGAAGTCCCCGAGGGTGGTCGCCGCGGCGCAGCCGACCCCTAAACCCTCCGGGGACCCAAGGGGAGTGGGTGTCAGCAAACACTCTGGTCCTCCGCTGAGCGCGGAGAGCGCTGGAGTAGAGCAAGAGCTCCAACTTGTGCTGCAAACGCTCCGGGAGGCCCGGCAAGTCTTCTCCTGAGTCCCGCCCCAGAAGCGACCCTAACCCCGTTCCTGGCCGGTAGTGTCCGCGCCCGGTCCGGCCCCACGAGGAAACCCCAGCCAGGGCGGCGGCTGGCAGCGCGCAGAGAGACACGGCCGCGCAGGGCAGGGCGCGGGGTCCGTCCAGAGGGATCCACCCAGCGCCCCAGAGCCTCCGGGGCGCCCCGGCCAACGCGCAGTCCCACCGCCAACAGCCCCCGGCCGCGGCCCCCTCCCCCACCTCTGGGCGGCGACCTCAGCGCCTCCGCCCCGGGGCCCCCGCTCACCCAGGTAGCGGCTCCGCAGCCGGGACGGGTCCTCCAGCCCGAGGGACCGTTTCCTCACGTCCCACAACAGGTGTGGACAGGAGCCACCCCGAGACATGGCTCCACCGGGCCGGGTGGGAGGGTAGCCCACCGCGTGGGGGAGGGGGCAGGGGAGGGGACGCGCGATCAGCTCCCGAGCCGCACAGGCACCATCCGCGCGCCGGGCCTCGCGGGCGGGCGCAGCGACTTAGATGGCGGCGACGCCTTCGCCCCCGAAGCCCGGCCGCACCCGGGCCAGAGCTCGCCTCATACTCTCCTCACACTCCCCAGAACATCCAGAGATCGGCAACAGTCTCCTCCCTCGGCCCCTCCAACGGGAGGAGGAGGTGGCGGAGGCGGAGGCGGCCGCGACTCCGCCCCCCTCCGACCCCGTTCTCAACACCCTCCCTTCCAGCCTTTCTCGCGAGATGACGACCATCGGGGGCCTGAAGTCGCCGGTCGTCACACCTGCCCTCGTCCTAGAAAAGCGGGTTCAGGCCACTGTAGCCAGATCCTTCATTCTCTATGGATAAACGAGGAAGATAGAGCAAAGAGGCCGAGGTCTGAAGTCTGTCTCTCACAACTCTCATTCCAAAGGAAACGTGAGAGTTGTGGGCTGTCATCTTTAGTCAGGGCACCGAAGGCCTAACGGAGCCCATTTTAACTTCGGGCCTCCTTAATCAAAATAAAGGGGATCAGAGCAGGTGCAGCTTCACTTTCCCTTGTCCAACATGGCCTCGAGGGCAGGGAGGAGAAATGGGAGGTCCGTGCTGAGCCCCGCCCACCCCGCCGGGCAGGCCAATCACCGCGGGCAGCTCCTCTGGCGCAGGCGCGCTGTCGCAGGGCTCCGCCGGGACTCGCGGAGGAGCTTTTTCTGGCACCTGTTGCCATGACTCCTCCTCTCTGTTGGCTGTTGGAGGGCTGGAGGCCGGCCGGGGGCGGGCCGTCGCAGAGCCTCCGCCCCCTTGGCGTTCTGCTTGCCCAGGCCCCTGGGTAATGCGCAGGGGGGCCGGCTGAGCGGTGGCGGGAAGAGCACCCGAGGGGAGAGGAGGACGCGAGGCCCTGAGACGGAGGGACGTGAGCGCAGCTCTCCGTGGTCAGCCCGACGAGTACGCAACCACCCTCCCGCCCGCCGGGCCGCGATCCCCCGTCCGCAGAGATGTCCGCCGCCGGAGTCCGGGGCCTGAGGGCCACCTACCATCGGCTCCTGGATAAAGTGGAGCTCATGCTGCCGGAGAAACTGAGGCCGCTGTACAACCACCCGGCAGGTAAGGGGCCCGGAATGGCTGACCGCCCCCAGTCCCCGAGACCTGCCTTCCGTCTTCCTCTAAAGGAGACCTTCCGAGGCCCGCTGACCACTCGGTCTCTAGAGGCGTCACCTACACCCCAGCCCAACCCCCTCCCGGCTTCTCACTTTGCTTCCGTCCACCATCTGTCGCCAGCCTTCGCGACCTTTGTCGCACCCCATCCCTTAGGACCCCTGGACTTTGTCCTGCTCCATTTCTGCGACCCCCCAGGCGGTGCGGGCCGCCGGGACACCCTCGTCCTCTCTGCCTTCGCTCCCCGAGCGCTCGTCGCGTGGGAGGCTTTGGAGGAAAGGTCACGCCGCCTCCAGGGCCCGCCGCCACCGGCCAGCTCCGGGTCACTGGCCTCCGCTGCCCCGTGCGCCCTGTCTGTGAAATTTCCTATCGAGCTCCCCCGGCGCCGTTTTTGCGTGGACACACCTGGATGCCTGTCCCTTACTGCAGGTGTGACCTTGGGCGGAATGCTAGGTCTCGTAGGTTTTGTACAAATGGTCAAGGTGAGAAGTGCGTGTACAACATGTACGTTTGGCTCTTTGCGTTCAGTGCACGCCAGCTCTCCACCTTGTCCTGCTGGGGCTCAGTGTGCTGGGGGCTGAACAAACATATTTCAGGGGGAAAGGGGACGATCCCAGTTGCTCCCACGCTGAAAGACACCCTGTAAGACCTGCAATCCTCCGTAAAACGGTAGCGATGATGCTTAGTTGGCTGGGAGCTGAAAGCAGATCTCTCTGGAGCCTCAGAGTTTGCAAGCGACGAAAGTCTGCTCCACGTCGAAGTGCTGAAGCGCAGCCCTAACGGGGGCCCTTTGGGCCAAATCTGTGCGCCTGGTCTCTTCCCGAGCGTCGGTCATTTTCCCACGGACAGCGGCTCCCCGGAGACTGAGCGAGTTACCACTAAATCTGATTTCCAGTTTGATAATGGAATGAGCTGTATTTGGGGATTACACTTGAGTATAATGTTATTTATTGCAGTATTGTGCCCATTATAAAATTGACCTTTAAGGAGAGGTTTATTTTTTTTTGCTTTTTTATTTTACTTAAACATTTTTAAAAAATCTTTATTGTATTTTTTTCATTACCATTTTGTCCCCTTATACCTCCTCCCCCCACAGTCATCTCCCCGTCACGCGTGTCCATGAGTCCTTTCTCCTTTTTGCTCCATCCCTCCACCCCTAACCGCCCCACTACCTGTCATCCTGCTCTCCATCTGTGAGTCTGTCCCCATTGTCCTTGCTGGTTCAGTTTGCTCAAAGAGGTTTTTATGGCTGAAGAAGTTTATTTAGTTTGTTAGTTCTTGTAACACTCACCTTGAGGGAACGGTGCTGCATTTCATGGTGAAGATATCAGGAGGGAGGCTGGGCAATGCTGCTGCAAGAAGCTGGGCTGCAGAGCAACTGAATTCTGTCCTCAGTCCGGCCCCCCAGCCTTGTGTGTGGGCTGCAGGGCGAGGGCAGGGCGCGGCGGTCACTTTAGACCACATTAATAACAGGGGGGCTCTCCAGGGGTCTGCTCCCAGGCCTTGGCTTTCACCGCCCATTGTCATTGCTTAGGACACTTTATGCAACTCTCAGAATGGAGAGGGGGCACTTCTCATTCGTGGACTGTGCATTTCACCCGGGTTGTGCAACTCATCTGGGAGCAGACGAGTTGTAATCCCTCCTCTCTACAGTGGGCGGAGCCTAGGCTTTGAAGCCCCACAGGGAGATTTGAACCTTGACTGTGTGACCTTGGCCTTAAATGCCCCCAGCCTTCATTGTCTAATCCATAATATGGGGATGCTAATGATCACCATGTAAGGTTAGTTATGAAAATGAAACGAGTGTCTGTAAAACAGGTAGCACTTAAACTCGCAGCAAATATTACTTTTCTCCCGTCTAAGCTTTGACCCAATATGCAGGGCAAGAATACCTGTCACTGCGGAAATATTTGCGATAGGACAGTTGCAGGCACACCAGTGTGGACATGGAGAAGCATGAAGAATAAAGCTGTTGGCTCATTAGCATTGAATAAACTCTGAGGAAACACTGACTTGTTCCAAGAGTTATCCGGCTGACTATTCAAACGTTTGCATACTATTTTGCATAATGGTGTGTTATTGAATCATCATTTAAGTATTAGGCTGGATTCACATACCTGAGATTTTTATAAATCTGTGCAAAGCTAGGATGTTAATAGTTGGATAGCATACATTACTGATTCTAAATTTTTGAGAGGTTTACTACTATCAGTGACAAGTAATATTCTTACTGTAAAATCAGAATAGTTTCGGCACAAATAAAAACAAGTATTTTTGGCAGTCAATATTTGTCAACCTTTACAAAACCTAAGGGTGTGTAAGTAGTCTGTCACATGCTAGTGAACAGGTCGTCTTGCTGGATGCAAAGAACTACGAGGAGTGTTGAGAGGGCTGGAAAGTGAAGGACCGAGGAGAAGTAAGTGGTCGGGGAGGGCTGGGAAGGGGGTGGGGGGCTCGGTCAGTCAGACCCTCACGTTTCACAGCGGGCCGAGGTGGGCACCTCCGCGCACTACCTGTGCTCGCGTGCGTTTGCCCGTTTGCAGAAGCTACTCACTCTGTTCCAACAAGAACGTCTTTCCTTAGGGGGGGCCTCACACCTACAATAAGTGACACACTTTCTGGGTAGAATTCACTTATTTCATTAACGGTAATTTCTCTCAGATAAGGAAATTAGGAGGTAAATTTATATCCTTTTATCAGCAGCTTCATCAAAGTTTATCAAGACAACTATATTTGTTGACTTGTTTGAAAATGTATGTCCGTTACATACTCTTTTGCAGAATTTCTCAAATTCTTCTATGAATGTTTGAACTTAAAAGGGTTTCATTTTAAAAATAAGAGAAACCCATAACAACACAAAAGAAAATGACCATATTATTCTCTGTATTTTTGTTATGCCTGAAAATAATTTATATTTTTAAATAAATGTATACTTTTTAAATATTGTTCCATATTTGCAGCATCTGAGGCCTTTTCAACCCCAGGAGTGGACTGCTAAGAAACAAGATGAAAATGTGTTAATTAATTGTTAGTTAATTCCTCGTCTAAAAGAATGTACATTTATATCTGATGGAGACACATTTCCCTTGTTTTGGACTCCAATAAATTTCTTATGAGATGATTTTTGTCCAGTGTATTTCAGCAGTTCAAATTATCTTCCCAATTGAGTTTTTTCATTCCCCATAATGAATGTTGGCTAGATATTCCGTTAGTTTATACTTCCGCTTATCTTGATTTTAAGGTATTATAATCATTTCAGGCATCATAATTGTCTAATTGTCCAATTTTTTAAGTGAATTACTGTGTTTTAATGATCAGCTGTGAGAATCTCGGTGTCATTATGTAGAATGCAAAGCTGGTTTCCTCAGGTCTGGAATGATCCGTGTGACATAGCGTTGGCATTATTTGACCATATCTATAATATTTTCAGATGCTTTGTTTTATCAGAGCTTTGCTTTTGAAATGCGGAGGAAGTTGGAATATTTTCACATGACCATGTCCACTATTGGCTGAGGGCTTCTTTCAGGAAGACAGCCTCTGTGCCTGGAGTCTCACACGGTCAAGTTTATTCATTACTCGTAGGGTAGAAAATGATTCGGTAAGGTAAATTGGAAGGGCAGACTAAAATGTTTTCATTGAAATTTTTGTTGACCTATTGTACGATTGCAGACATAGCTAGCCATTTTTCCCTTTTTTAAAAACAGTAAGAAAACACTATTGATTTGCATCCATAGATATGTAATTCGGATTATTTTTGTCCCTTGTTAGGATCCTCTCAAATTTCAGAAAAATTTGGAATTTGTAATGTCTTAGATATATTTGCAACTGGTATTTTTTTTAATTCAGTACTTAGCAGTTGTTAAACTAATTTAGGTTTGTTTTGTGGTTTAAAATTATTTACTAACAAAAATATTTATACTGCTCTTAGTCCAAGTTCTAGCAACCATAAAATCATGTTCGAA